AGATGGAAATAAATACAGGAGCATGGCAGAAGTACAAAGGGCCACAGATGTAACATAAAAGTCCTCTGGAAATTGGATGGAATGAGAAGTGCCATCCTTGAAGTGTTAAGGCAGGCTCTATGAAAGAGGCAGTATTTCATTGGAACTGAGCAGTGAGTGAGTCTGCTTCCACGATCTGAGAACTCTCATTTTTCAAGCTAGTCTTCCTTGGACTCTAACCCACACAATCCTTCAACCTGAATTCCTAGTCCATTAAATCTTTCACCTTTTCACAATCATCCACCCTCATAACATCCTCACTTCACTCCAAATTCAGCTTACATCCCAGTCCATATTCTGACAGTTCTCTCGCACACACCCTCAGTTCCTTTGCCTCTCTCTGCCTTGTTCAAACTCTCATGATGAAAACATAACTTTAAGTCCAACTCTCTGCCTACTTTGCACTACTACAGTTGAATCTGGTTTGAAAAAAAAAAAATGTACAACCACACTATCAGGTCTTGCTTAAGATTCATGACCCAAACCTTGAGTTGGCCTTTCATGCTGGCCAGCAGTCATGCCAGATTCTCTTAGTCCATTACTCTCACAGCCTTCTAGTATTTCATATTCTCTCCCTCACTTCCAACACCTCACCCATCTTGACTCATAAATGACACTGGTTTCCTCACACTGAGAAAAGATGCCAGTCTTATCATGTGTCCACTAAATTCTATATCCTTTCACCAGCTCAAGAACATCATTTCAGCAAATTCCATTTCTCTCCTACATTATCTTTTTTTTTCATCTTTGCTGGATACCATCTGCCTACAAATGTGGTGCTTATTTGGCTCATCCTCAATGTTTGACCCCACTATGTCCACCAACTACCACCTTCCCCTTTGTTAGTGAGAATGCACTACCCTCCATGGAGGATGGTCATATCACAACCCCTTCTCTTCCATTTCTTCTTCCTCTTAGGTCTTGGGCACATCTGCACACATGCCTGGTATATTTTTCAAACAGCTGGGTCTGAGACTTGAACCACGCCATTGGCCATGTAGGATCCAGCCTCCTTATCTACCATGCCACAGGTTGACCCGTCCCTCCCCCCATTTTATATCATTTATAGCAACACACCTTGAAAAAGTTACCTATTCACACTGTCTCCAGCTCCTATTCTTAAACCTACCCCTATCAGGCCTCATCTTCACCATGTACTGAAACTGCTCTTGTCCAGGAATCAGTAACTTCTACAATACTAAGCCCAATAGTCAACTCTCAGTCTTCATCTGTCTTGACTTAGTGGAAGCACTTGACAGAGTTGATCATTTCGTCTTGGACATTTCCTTCGTTGAGCTCCTAGAACACCATATTCCTCTTACTTAGGTCAGCACTGACACTGATGGTTCCCTCCATCTCCCTTCCTTCTTTATTCCAGAGAACTCCAGGCTTACTCCTTGGTTCTTGTCTCTTCCTGTTCACAGTCATTTCCTCAATATCTATATTCGAGATGTTAAAACACACACACACACACAAATACATATACATTGACAATTCCGAAAACAGTATCTTCAGGCCTGACTTCACTCCCAATCTCCAGACATGTATATATGCTTGCCAGATGAACATGTCATAAAGACGTTTAATAAGAATCCAAACACAAAGTATCAAAACTCAACTCCATGTGCCAATGATCCTGGTAGCATGACCAAGCCTTGTGGAGGGTGCCTCTCTCTTTCTCTCACTAACACACACCTTAATCATGTGTTTTAAAACAAAAACATACTAAACAAAACAAAACAAAACTCAACTCCTAAAGTTCCTCTTGAAGACAGCATTACCAATAGTCTTCACCTAACCACTTTTACAGTTACTCAAACCAAAAACCACTGGGGTCATAGTCCTCTCATCTCATCTTTCCTTATCTCAGCTCATCTTGTCTCATCTCTTTTCCTTTCATACAAAATAATGTCTTTCCATTTTGCCTTTGCAAACCTGTTTCCCACCATTCCTTATCACATGCTTCTCTTTCATGTGCCCAATTTTCTCCCAGTCTTCTATATCTACACAATTACCTGGTCAAACTTTCCAGACACTACCGCACTTTCCCTCTCCTGTGAATTTCTGGTCCTTTTTTTTTTTCTTTTTCTGGCTGTCCCCCTTCCTCTCCTGCTTATTCCAGCCTGAGATTGTTGTTTGGCAGGCCTGCTACCTACCTGCTATCGAAGATCTCTCTCTCTCATCACCCTAGAGACTACCTCTACCTCTCCTTTTGAGGATCCCCAGTGACCTGAACCCCATGACTTCCTCTTCCTTTATTTATTCTTTGATTTTGCTGGAGCCTATCTTTAAGCAATGTCTAAAAAAGAAACAGTGCATGGGAATGAAAGTTGTTGAGACTTTGCACATCTGAAAATGTCATTCTACTCTCATATTTGATTTGACAGGCTAGGAGGATTCTGGGTTGCAAATTATTTTTATTTAAAATAGTTTTAAAATATGTCAGTGTTGCCATCCACCCCCGGGACCCGCGCCGAGCGAGGAGGTGGCG